AATAAGGCATGCACCTCTCATTACAGAGATGCAAGAATCATAATGGAAGGATCACAATCCATGCTAGCACGAGCAAAACAAAACAAAAAAAGTGAGACTCTTATCTCAAAAACAAATCTGAAGACAAATGTTTGGAGGCATGGTGCAAGCATCAGAGCGCTTGCCTAGCAAGTTGCAATGTCTTAAGGTCAAACTCCCAGTCCAATTTTTTAAAAAAAGTAGATGAATTGTATGATATGTCATATAGAAAAAATATTTTGTAATTGTTTTTCTAGTGACCACAATAATATGATTTAAAACATGGATACAGAATGTTTGTGTTGCTCTAATCTTGTATAAACTCAGTGAATTGCATTGTTTCATATTATTTTTACCTGAATCTCAGCAGGAAAAAAAAAAATTTTTAAGGTAAATTCAAAATGTTTTCTCAAGAACTTCAACATATTTTAAGTTGACTTGGAATCCTCTCAAGATATTTTACTAGACTGCTTTTTTTACTAGACTGCTTATTTTACTAGACACTTCTATACTAATAATTAATGTCATGCAATTAAAAGCATCATAAAATACATATCTTCTTATGTACATTATATAGTAGCAAATACATTACGACGTATAAATTATTTTTTGTGTTTGTGCCAGTACCAGAGCTTGATTTCAAGGTCTGAACACTGTCTTTTAACTTTTTTAGCTCACAGCTGGTGCTCTACCACTTGAACCACACTGGCATTGTTCTTAGTAGAAATGAAGATATACACCCCCAAATAGATATATATTTAAACAGATATAATAGTTTTGTTATAGAAGTTTCCAGATATTAAGCCATACACTTATACACACAGAATATAAAAATAAAAATTTGAAGAGAGTGAAGATTCTCATCCTAGCCATTCATTGGACATACAAGAAAACAGAGATAAAGTGGCTAAGTTTTCATTCAAAATCATGACTAAGAAATATGTTGTTTGGACCCGACTTCCATAATTCCCAAGCCAATGATTTTTTTCATCCTACCAACAAATTCTTCCCCAGGCTGCGGGGGATGGAAGGGGTAGGAATAACTTTTCTGAAAAATCTGTATGCACAGAGATACTAAGTTTAATATCTGCTGGATGTTTCTACCCTTTGAATATAGACATCTTTTGTTCATTTCAATCGTAGATCATGTTCATTTTTAGCCTTTACGCTCCTAAAATTTGATAGTTTACTTATTCCAAATCTTTGATAATAATTATTATATTTTCAAGTAAGCTGTTTTTTTCTAGAAAAAAGAACTATATGGCTTTTATTCCTCCAATTCCCACAATTTTGATGCAAATAACACATTTTCATTCTTGTTTATGGCTTAGTAATATTCTATGTACAACATACTTGCTTTATCCACTCATTCATCAGTTATAGGGCTTAGCTAATGTGAATGGTGGTGCAGTAAACATGGGACATGTAGGTATGTCTTTAGTATGCTGATTTTTTCATATGTACCTTAAAGTGGAATGTATGGAAGATATCTTTTTAGTTTTCCTAGGAACCTCCCTACAGTTCTCCACAATGGTGATATTAATTTACTTTCCCATCATTAGCATATGAACGTTTCTTTCCATGACATTCTTACCAGCAGTTTTTAGATTTTTGATGTTAGCCATTATTACTAAGGTGAGATAATATTTCACTGTAATTGTAGAAAGGATAGCCATTTTAATAAAGGGTGCCAGAATACTGAGTAGTCCTATACAAAAGTTTGCAAGTTTTCTGTTTCTCACCCTGTACAAAAATCAAATCAGCATGTGTTAAACATCCAAATGTGAGATGTGAAACTGAAATAGCTAAAATACTGGATAATACTTTTTAAAAAATATGTGTTCACTTAACTGCTCACATATTTTCCCTCACTCCAACTTATTAGAACACTTATTTTAAAAAGAAACTGATCAATGAGATTAAAAATATGATAATCATTAAACTCCCAACAGAAATCTTAGGAAATGTTTCATGTGGATGAGTCAGTACATGCTCAGCACTGATGCACTTAGAAATAAAAAAAATTCCTACAGACTCTAGTTAGAGTGTACATTAGGATTGCTTTCACCAACTCTACCACAGCTACTCAAATAACCTCATGATTAATCTTCACAAGAACCAGCCAGGGAGGTTAGTGAACTCTCTTCATGAAACTTTTCACCATGGAAATCTTTCTAAAACTGGCCTGCTATAAAAATTTATTTTTCCTCCTAATCTGAGCTCCAGCTATCTCCAAAGCTGCTATTTATTTAAGCCTGGAGCAGAAGGAAGAGTTATTTGAATTTTCGATGTGAGGTTTCTTCTCAAAATTTTACCAATTCACATAGAAAGTTGTGTCTTCCGAGTATAGGCTACACTGCCTCTCCCCTGACAGCCACCAACATGTCATGACCCCCTGCATTCCAGAAATCAGGGGTCAGCAACTGGGTGCCCCACTTGTGAAAAGCTGTTGACCTTTGTGAAGGAGCTTGTATGGAAGCAAGTGTTAATTTTCAGAATCTGACTGGTCTTGATAGCAGCAACCTCATCTCATCTCAATGTCCCTTGGAATGTTTTCCAGCCAAGGAGCCTCGAACTAATCTGTCATCACTGGTCAACAGTGCAGGCAGTTCATTCTTATATTCCTGCCTTTCTCTCCTGGACCTGAAACCAAACATCTACCCCTCCCTCCACTCATGACCAAATTGTCCTGTGCTCAACACTTGTCAAGGCCTTCATCTTCAATGACATGGTCAATACACCAACAAATTATATTTAACACATGAAAAACAAGCAACAGACCCATTTTCTCTCAGCTTTGTAATAGAGAAATACAGAATTGGAGTTTGAGGTATGCACGTGCACTTATTTTTGAAATGGTATTTACAGACACCTAAAATAATAATCTTAACAAATCATAAGTGTTTAATAACACATTTTAATATAATTTTCTTAAGTACTTTTTAATAAAATACAGACATAATTATAATTATCAACGCATGTATGTCATACGACAATAAAAGGTTAACCTTTCAAGTGACGTGGTGATTATTTACAGTAAAATCTAAGAAAACAGCATTTGTTCAATATTGGTAAATTTTACCAAAAAAGATTGATAAAAGAATTCTACTCATTTTGTGTAGTGTCATCTCAAATTACTAATAGCAAAAGGGGAAATTCTCTACTTACTAATGTTTGTCAGTATAGGGTACTGTTTTGCATGCTTTCTCAAGATGGAAAATTATCCTCCTTAAAATTATTACTGCAAGCACCATGGCTGGGGTGGACTCAAAAATCTTACATAGCTCTACCTATTTCAAATATTTCTTCCTATTAATTTTAAATTTTAAAATGAATACTTGATATTCAAATCAAGTATTTATGAATTGCCAATATCTAGAAACAGACTCTCCCTGCATAAATTCTTTTCACGAGTATTCCCTTAAATTCATATAACAATGGTATTGTTAAGTAAACCAGTAAATCAGGACTGATACTCTTTTCCCACTAAACTAGGAATAAGTTAAAGCTATTATGGTAAGCAAAAGACATCACATTCCATTTGTCAAATATATGAAATGGTAATAAGTAGATGGCAGACACATCATTTCACTTTCTCAACAGAAGGGCAAAGCACCTCCTCAAGCATTCTTGGCCTTTCTATTTTATTCCTAATATGCTAATAAACTTTCTTGGTTTGTACTTGTAAGCCATGTATGCATTTTTCAGGAACTTTTAAAGAGTAATGCTGTTTTTTATTTCTTCGGTTCCGAGGTTAAAAATGCTATTGGGGTTAAAAGTTTTATAGTTCCTTTATCATAATTAGTATCTTCCTCCTCAATCCTCCAAGAGAGTCTTTATAGTAATGGGCTTTGGCCTTTGACTACAACCCCATAAGACAGATTGCTGGAGATAACCCTCTGGAATTCCTTGCAGTGTTAACACCATAAAGGCCTAAGATCTGTCCATTTAAGAAAAAGTCAGAGAGATAAGGAGAAGGAAATGTTTCAATCTACAGGAGTTATGAGACATAAATAAGTAGCATAATGCCTTTTCCTTTCTCATGGCTCAGGAAACTTAAATCAAGAGGAAATTTACCCTAACTGGAAAACCATGCTTCATAAAAACACAAAAGATAGTTGACAATATTATTACTCTGGACTTAAAACATTTCTCACTGGAATCAAACAATCTGAGGAGGATTTATTTACTTCTTGCCATTATTCATTATCATATACCCCTTCTCTGGTTAAAATTTTTTTTAATGTTTACAGAACATGTTTTAATAGCCTACATGATAAGTAAAATGAGCAAAAAATCCAAAATATTAGAAATTTATTCTCTGAAGATGAATAAGGATTTCTACGTCCAACAGAAAGTGAAAAAAGTCATAAACTTCTGCCTACCTTCAGAAAGAAAATAAAAATTGTGTTATGAATTGTTATAGACCTTAAGTCTATAAATCTGTGGTAAATAAGAATAAGCAGAAATACAAAACTAATCCTTCATGATTACAAATACCTCATAACTAATACTAAGATAATGAGCTTTTGCAGGTTTTCATACTATGTCCAAGAATAACAAAAATCACAGATATCTACATGTTGGTCATCAATACTCAATTATGAAACCATTTAGAGCACATTTCCGATAAATTAAGTACAAGTCTTTGCTTAGTATCACTGGCAAGTTTTAAGTTTGAATTCTATTTTTGAAAGTCTGAAATTTTAGCTAAGCAGACTATGTGCACCAATACTCTATACAACTGGATAAAACAGACAGGGGAAAAGCTTCAACACACTATCTGTGATGTATATACAGTGTACACATTTACCATAGATAATTACAATCTCACCTTGAGAAAGTCAAAAACTTTTGTGAGCCTTCAATTTCTATTGTATGCACATTTTACAAGCTAGAGATCATTTCTTTCCATATTGCTTGGCAAAACAAGAACTAAGAAAATACACTGGATTCAAATGTAGTGTAACTTCAAGGCTTCATCAGACCATATGTGCAGATACTTGAGATGATGACAGAGTTAAGCTTCCAAGGGTCCTGGAGTCAAAGAAACTCTGCTGACCCCCGCTGCTAAGCAGGTGCACTCCTTCCACAGGGGGCAACATCTGCCGATCAGTCATGGTCCCACTCGGTGAGGACCCCAAGAAACTTCCTTGGGAAGAGACAATTTTCTCAGGACTGGCAGCCAGTTTGGGGGATGTGGAGAAGTTATATCCATACAAGGCACAGGGGCTGTGTAACCTGAAAGTGTTATAGGAACCCTGATGGGTCTGGTTAGGAGCAAAGGTGTTGCTGGAGGGTGACGGCATGATGTATTGGAGCTGGGGAGACATCCCTGAAATCTGCATAGACAAACTGGTCTGTGGACAGCTAAAGGCATCCCCATCAGTGCCACTCATGGACATGTTCATGGAGGTGCTGCTGCTCACACCCACATAGGAGGGAGTCCTTGGCGGGGCAAAGGTCTCGCTGGTCTGGTTGGTGAGCCTGTTGTATGTCTCTGCCAATGATGTGCTGTACCGGTTGAGGGTGAGGCCTGAGCGGGCACAGGCAGAATAGTCAGCTGGGGCCAGACTACATAGCTGGCTGGTGTTGGGCCCCAGATGGAAGGCAGGAGAGGAACACGAGGAGCCAGACAAAAGGTGAGGGTGCGTGGCTGGAACACCATTCCCAGTACCTTGAAGCAAAGTGGAGGAACTTGCATTGCCTATAAAAGAAGGTGAGACATAAAGAATCATCTTTAGTGAATGCATGGTAAATATAGCTTGTGGCAAGGGGAGGCTATGAAGATGGAAAGGAGATGGTCTCAGTGTTCTATGCATTTATAATGTCATTGAATTCAGATTGAAAAAACAATTTAAAGGCAATTATCTTCTTAGCAAACGAGTAGTTTTGTGTTAGACAAAAATAAGACACTACTGCTAGACCTTCTGGACATTCTCTCTCAACTAGCTTTCCCAGAGTTTTCTTATTTGCTGTAATAAGTATTGCAAATATTGAATATACCAGAAACTTTATAAAATATTAATTTGATTTGATTCCTTGCTCCCCAAATTTAATAAGCCATATTTTCAGAGGCACTCAGTACCTCATTCTTCATTAGCCTGGTGGGATACACCTCCAGGCCTATTTTTTATTAGTTATTTTTGGGATAAGATCTTTCTTTCCAACCAGTCATGAGTGTGAGCTGCAATCTGACCATTATAGGCTGTCCAGGAATATGCCACCACATCCAGATCCCCTTTCATAAAGATGGAGTTTCATGGTCTTTTCTGCCCAGGCTGGCCTAGTACCACCATTCTCCTAATTTCAGCCTACTATGTAGCTTGGTCATGACGTCCCACTATGAGTAAAGAAAGGGTCTCTCAAACTTTTCAGCTTAGGCTATCCTTGATGTAGAATCTTCCTGTTCTCTGTCTCCTAAATAGATAGGATTATAGGCACAAGCCACTGAAACTCTCCTGTAATAAGCAATTCTTTTATACCCATGTTTTATCCTTGTTTTCAGCGAAGCCCTTTCTGGATCTTACAAAGTAAAAGGAGTAATTCAAAGGAAAGAGCAGAACTGGTCCAAGGCACTTCCTACAGCAACCATATTTGCTTTTCACTGAAGCTTGGGTCCATCCTGACTATACCACTCAGGTCTCAGCTATGTAAGAAAGCAATAGTCTAGATCCTCAAAAATCTCATTTACAACCAGAAAACAGGTTGGTGAACCACATGCTAACGTAACAGCAAAGGTTCAGCAAATAAACAGTGTTGTGAAACTAAGAGGGTAGTTAATCCTTTGTCCAATCAATAATAGTGACGGTCCCTGATTCTACCTCTCTATACTGGCTGGCAGATTGATGTTTGCAACTCTCAGGAAACAAAGGGGAGAGGAGAATCCAAAGGGCTGGATAGGTTGTAAAGCTATCATTGCTTTAGAAACAATATGTTACATAGCTTCTTACAATAATCTAAAAGCCCAATACAACCAGTGATAATAATCTAAAACCCAGCGTGTGCAAGTCTCTAGAATCTGGAAGGTTCCTGGTAAAGAACCTGCCCTCTGGAGCAAGCTGGGAGTCCTACACAGAGCAGACCAGAAGAAAGGTGCTTCCTCCTTCTCTGAGGAAACACAAGTTCTGGGCTTATGGGAAATAGTCAGAAATAAATGAATCCAAAAGAGCTGCCCAATTTTCTCATCATAGACCCAATGACAGAACCCTGTCAAGAAGCTATAGAGGCTATTCTGCTTATAAAAAAAATTAAAAAAGCCTTATGCAGGGGTGGATTGGAACCAGTATCTGCAACTTCTTAAGAACTACACTTGGCCTGACGGACCCTAGTCCATCTCTAATTAATAGGTGATTTCAGAGTGAGGGAAGGTTATGAAACATACATATAATCTGAAACATCAAAGATGTAACTTAAACCTGACAACTGTTTTTCATGAGCTGTCTCCATAGCCATACAGAAAAGAAATATATCTTGAGGAAGAAAAAATGCTGGTGATGAGGTCACTGTTACAGATGTATATCAAGTATGTATTTTGTAGTGCTTGAGCCTTTAGGCAGGAATTGGCTGCCTTTATGACCAGGAGATTTTATGAATTACCTTGTTTGGGAATTCCAGGGATATCTTCAAAGGTGAGAGTCCGTAGTGAAGGTCGCCAGAATGCATATGACTCCACCAGGGCTTCCAGCCCCATTCTAAACAGCACAGTCAGGATGGGGGGTGGGGAGGGGAAGACAAACAAGGCTAGTTAGGAGCAGCTGCAGCCTTCACCAGTAATAAACATCTCAGAAAACACCACCAGTGTTGAGAGTAGCCCCACAATGGCAGAATAGGAATGTGCCACCAGCAAAACAGAAAAATATGAGAGAACATCTCTAAAGATGGCTAATGCACTGGAGGATCTAAGCCAACTTGAAGGATGCAAAACGTCCCTTCGTGATAAGGAGCCAAAAGGAGAGTCTACCTGGGCTGGTGTGAGGCCAAGGTTCTGCTGTGATCTGGAGCTCACCCCGCCTCCTTTCACAGGACTTCTTCCCCTGACTGAGCAAGATGGTTGCTACAAAAGCATACTCCCATAAAACCCTAAGAGGCATTTCGGCCCCTCATGCAGTACTTCAGCTGCCAGCTCAGGGGTGGAGTAGAAAGGAAGTCTGAATTCTGCTCAGGGACACAATCTCCACCACAGGCCAAACTAGCTGGAAGATGATCTCATAGGATTATTTTGTGCCTGGAGTTAGTATTAACATCACACATTATTGTAAAGTCCCAACATGCTTAATGAATAAATACTTTTAAAGGGGAATATATATGTACTAAAATAAAAGCAACTACTCTAAATGCTTATAAAAAGAGATTTAAATGAAGAGACTCAGTCTTTCTTTCTTTATATCAGGTAATAAACTGCTGTAGGTTCTGGAATTGAGGTCATTTATACCCCTAGCCATTCTCAAGAAAAGACTGAGACCTCAGCGCCTCTCAATCATCTCAGCTTTCTTAAATTCAATATAGTACTATAAGAGGTGGGGCAGGGGAGGTATAGCTCAGTAGCAGAGTACCTGCCTAGTGTGTACACACAATACTTCAGGTTCATCTCTAGTACTGAAAAAAAAATTGAAAGAAATGCCTGCTTTCTGTGGTATCCAATACTACTTTAGTCATTTCTTATGATTATCAGATACTCTTAATAATTTCAATTCAGGTGCTATCTCCTCTAGATTCTCTAATGCCTCTAATCATGAACTCTGAAACTTCCTGAGTCATATCATCTATAAAACATGACAAATAAACTCTCCAAACAGTAGAAAAGTGATATGTACAGATAAAACTATTAGACATAGTTGTCCTAATATGCCAAGAGTTGTTGCTTTGTTTGGTTTTGTGGTACTATAAGACAAGGTCTCACTAAGTAGAACAGGCTGGAACTGAATTTGTGATCCTCTTGCCTCAGATTCCTGAGATCTGGGATTACAGGAATGTGTCACCACATCCAATTGTGCTGAGGGCTTATACTCAGAATATGCTGGGTATAATATCAGTTTATTTATTTAATTTATTTATGTCCTCCCTTAATACGGAGTATTATTTCATCCTAATGACAGCTATGTGTGTGCTTATATAGGTTAGCATGCATGAACATATCCTCTCATGTTTCCACAGAGTACCTGACTCATCTCCTCAGTCACAGCTCAAAGAAGTGTTGTGACCTACCTCAAATGCAACCATGTGGCTGCCAAAGGAGGGCAGGGCACAGAGTAGACCTACACCTGTTTTACCTGGACTGCCTCGAAGGACATAATCTGGTTCTGATATATAGTCAATGTGTCACCAAGTGGATTATTCAATAGTATGGACACTAAAATCACAAGTACTGAGTTGTGAGTGTAAGTTACTCAAATTTACTCTGTGATGTTAAGTAAATTTCTTAACCTCCAAGACTTCAGTTTCCTACAAAGAATAGACAAAGAGGCTTGGAAACCTTTTCTAGCTCTAAAGTTATTTTATTTAATTCTAAGTGATTTTTCCCCCAAATGACATCTTATCTATAATTAAGCTACAAGTCCAATCCAAGATCATGCCACTCCATAATCTTCTGTGCACTGAAGAATCCACTTCTGGCTAGTTTGGTGTACCATGTCAGTCTCAATATATAGCATGTTCCCTAAGGGTTGTATTTCTCACTGAATTAATGAATGCTAGGTGCTATTTAGCTGATCATTCTTATTTATATTATAAAAAAATACATTTTTATGTCTTCCTAGAAATAAGATTTTTGATAGAAAAGAATGTTAGTACACAGATTGATAAGAATTCTCTTTTATTATCGCAATGAATTTCAATAATGGTACTTTGAAATACTAACGGTAATCAAAATAGTCACAGAGCAGTCATGAGGGCAGTTGATAAACATAATTAGCAAGAGTCTACTGAAATAAGAAATTTATTAATAGGGATGCTCAATGCTGCTCATTTGCTGAAGCAGTATAAACTTTATTATGCTTCAAATACATAAAACAAATTGAGGCAATTCTTTAAGCATCACAAATATAAAAGCCTAGGCTTAAAGAGATGATCTGAGGGTGATATATCCACAAATGATCTGATCTGGAGCTATTGATATTTTTCCCAAGGCTGCTTTTTCACACTCCTAGTTCCAGAAAGGATTTCAGATATTTTGCAGGAAACAGTTATAAAATATTTATTAGCTGAATCTGGACTTTTGTTTAAAAAGCCTTCATTTGCTCCAGTAATGGAGACTTTTCTCCATCTAGTTAAAGAAGAGATGAAAGGCACCTCCTGCAGGAGAGCAGCCAAGGCGATAATTTATACAAGGTGCTTTGAACAACTTCCACATTTTATCACCACCCTAATTTATGCTATCAAATGGCCGAGTTTATTTAGTAAAATGGTTATGTTTTTCCTGAAGTATTTAAAGAGAAGAAATTTTTGTACCTTCCTGAGTAAAAAATTTTATAGGGTCAAACCTAAGGCCCAACTGAAGAATGAAACTATTCTCAGCACATAAATTCGCTCTCACATAGCAAATGTCTTGCAGGAGAGCTTTTAAGGGCCGAAGCTACTGATTCGTATAAAATAGGCTGCAGAGTCATAAATAGCCAGGAAAGGATAATTTTTAATTAAGGAAAATTGTTTTATAAAGTTTGAACCATCCCAATTCCATGTTCTTTTCATGTCATGCTCAATTTATTTCCTTCAGAAGGAAAAATAAAAACAGAATCTTGCTTTAAAAAGCAATTAAAACTGCATAACAGATTCTTGAGTAATAAATATTATAAACTTTTTCTCATGGACTTTCCTTTTCTATTTAATTTATAAAAGAAATATTGTGTCTTTTTATATTCTCCAAACCACTGCATCCTTAACTGACTCATACATATAACTCAGGCTTTTTTAAAAAGTGAAAACAATATATGAGTTCAGAATGTTTAAGAAACTGACAAAATTTTCTCTCTATATATTTGTATTGTGTATTTATCAAAGATGTTTAGATCAGAGCTTTTAACAGAATATTGATTTATAAACATTTAGCATTCTATAGTAACCAGTGAAGATCTCATCAATATGCAAGAAAAATTATTTATTTCGTGAGGGAAAATCATTGAAACATTATTTCACTAGCAAGAAAGCTGCTATAGATATACTTCACCTATAATAATATACTGTTTAAGTATTTGGAAAATAAAAAGTTCAAATTTTAAAAGAGTGTTAATCATAACTCATCGCTATCTGTTTATTAAAATATTACAAGTTTTTAAAATAATTATGATATTCATTTTCTTTTCAATTAATACATCATTGTATGTGTGCTGTGTACATGTTTTGATATATGCATTTATTGTTTAATGATGAAATCAGGGCATTCACAATATACATCACATCAAATATAAATTTAAAATTAAATTTAAAATTTTTAATAGCAGTAGGTTAAATTGTTAATGTTTAGTCACTAAGAATGGTGTCTTTCAAGACATCACAAGTTTTAGTAGAGTCAGGCAAGAAATAATAGCAATCACCACTGGATGCCATGCCTCCACATTCCAAAAAAATCCAAAGGGAAAGAAATACCTTTATCAAATCTAGTATTCTTTTAACCTCACCTTACCAAATAACAGGAAAAATCAACTGCCACTTATTATCACTGATGCTACTGATCTTTTCATTGACTAAATTTAAATAACCAATGTCTTTTAGCTTTGCTGCCCCATCTAAGAATTCTTCCCCTAAATATGTCACATGTATCTATCACCTCATTTTTATTTGTAGAAGTCTCCATCACTGTTATTATCTAAAATATACCTTAAGTGCATTTTGAATTCAATGTTTCATAAATGAACTGATGGTATCCAAGCCGGGAGATTTCCAGTAAGAACAGCAGTAAGACTTTTGCTGAAGCTATGGACAGTTTGGTGTATGCTTTCTCAAAACCTGAGTGTTGCCTTCTGGCAGTTCCTGTGAGTTCTAGTAAGTGCTACTTCTGCTTGATAAATGGAAACCAGGCTAAGACTCTGACTCTCAAATGGAAAAATTCTATTCTGATAAAATCAAAGTCATATTCTACCAAAGCATTTGTCAAGGTAGCAAAGGAGTTAGCCTAAAAAATTCCCTTCAGCTACCTCTCTAGGTTAAATGATCAGATAAGGTTTCTAAATTACAGTTTCATTTGCAATCAAGTCCAGAAACTGTTCTGAAAAGCTAGTTAACCAGTAGCTAATGCAACATAACAAAAGTCAAGCAAGTTTCTCTCCATACTAAAACAGACATCTCAAAGTAACACAAAATAATTTCAACATAGGAGACAATCTGTGTATGTTAAAAAATAATTGCATAGCTTCCTACAAGAGGAATAATCTCAGGGGAAAGCTCTCCTGTTTGGCAGTCTTACTGATCCACTGCACTACGTTTAAGATCCTTCTACTCTTAATGCCTTTTTAGTTGCATATGAGAAAGGAGTTCTTGGGAGCTTTTTTTGACAGAGTCTTGTTATGTGGCCAGACTCCAACTCACAATCCTGTTGCTAGCTTTTAGTAGTTGTATTTTAGTCCTTATACAGCATGCTGTTTAAGCAATGCAATGGCATATAAAGATGACATATGTCTCCAAAAGAAACTGAATATATCTGAAAATGGTCTAGCTCTGAAAGAGCTAAGTCTCTAGTCTTATTGCCTACCTGTTGTTCCCTAAAATTTCAAATTTAATTGTCTTTAAATTAATTGGATATTTTCATTTCATGTAGACAAACTGAGACGTGGAGAAATAACTTCGAGCAGAAGGTAATAAAAACTTCAAACACTACTTTAAAAAAAATAATATGCTTTGTAAAACATTTAAATCAGTCTTGGCCTGATAAGGCATTTAGAGAATGTTTGTCTATTATTACTCTGTTTTACTAAGTCACTTTAGAAATGATTTGTTGCACTGTATTGGAATAGAATCATATATTAATACATTTGAAAGCCCTTGGTACACAGACTAGATTATTTGCTTTTTGATAAAACTAATAGAGTGGCAGTCATTATTGTAGCGCTCTGTTTAGTAGGAACACTGTAAAACAGAACACAGAGAAAAGAAACGAGTTTGTAGCTGCCAGCAGAGCCAAAACAAATTTGAAAACTAAAGAATATCAGTTTTCTTGGCCATTGGAAGTACTTTCATGATCCAGCTGGAAATATTAGTTAACAAGAGACTCTTCATCATGCTCCCCAGACAGAATCAATAGACAGTTGTGCCATCACTAAGGAAATTCTAAACCAACAGCAGAGGCAGAAAGGACACTGACTTGGAATGCTGGGCCCCTGAGCCTGAAAGGGCAGGATTCTTCAAGGCCCCTTAAGAAACAACATACGCTATGTACCCCAAGACCTTATACTTCCACCCAAGCATCATGCATGAAAGCTCATGCATGAACTAGGGCAAGACACACCATCACACTCCACACAACAGTGTTAGACAATTTAAAATTCTCCTCAGCAATTTAAAGTCCTGTTGATAAATTTAAACTTTTAGCTTGAGTGGAAAATTCACAATAAAATATTAAACCTTACTTTTAATAAGTAAAGTGCATTTCTTTGCTACATACCTGTTTCTCCCAGAGTCTCGGAAGCCTTTGGCAAACGGATTCCTGTCTATCTTAAGGCGAGTAATCTGCAAAGTAGGAAACACGGTCATATCAAATCTTACATAAACGTCACAGGATTATAACCAGCAGAGACAATTGCATTCCTCCATGTGTAGCAGTAAAGAGTCTAGCAGTAAAGCTCAAACAACTTTCCAGAAATCATTTGCTATGAAATACTCTCTTATTCCCATTTAATCTCCAAAAATAAAGGTGTTGTTTGCTTTTTATAGTACTCAAAAAAATGATTTTGAATTGTCTGTTGTCAGTTTGTCCAAGGTTGGACCATTCTCTCAGAAATGAAGACATTCCCTTTAACTCTGTGATGTAATTCAAAACTGATCCTATCACACTAGGGGTACAAGCAATGTCCAAAAGCATCCACTTCTCAGCCATTCATAAGCTTCAATGTTAAGTTCCTCTGAGGTCTTTCCTTCAGAATTAAGTGTTGCCTATCCCCATTTTACTTTTTGCCTCTGTATTTTTCTTTGCCTCTCCTTTAATCTCCTCAGGGCTCCCATCTGAAAGTGTTATTCTTTTATCTCTTACTTGTGTAGTCCTAACTTGCTCACTGAATTACAGTGAATATCTAGCCAGAGATAACCACTACTGAAAGCTTCTACTGGAATTAGTTCCTTGTAGGAGAAATAATGATGTTTTAATTTTAACTAGAGTTACCATTTGTTGACTCATAACCAACCTCTTTCCCACTAAAACCAATTTGAGGACAAGGAGGGATTTTTACAAATGTTCTCATTATCTCTGTTAATTTTTGTTTTTATTGATACCATCCTGAACTCAGCACTAATAAATAACATCCTATCTGTTTCTTACCCAGACCTCTACTTTGTCCAATCTATTTTTTAGCAGTGTATTATGCTTTGCCTTCTAAATTCTTTGTGTTAATGAAATCTAAAAAATTATTAGTGAATATATTTATTTTTTATTGTGAAAATACTGTAGAGAGGGGTTTCAATTACATGGACAAGATAATGAGTACATTTCTTATCAAGCATTGTAGCCTCCTCTTTTGTTCCCCTTCCCATCCCATCCTCCCCCCACCCCCACCCCCGCACCAAAGTTGTAAAGTTCATTTTTGACATAAGGACTTGTACATCTCATTGTTGCAATGGGTCCACCTGTATCCCTATTTAAACGACTTGTTTTTCCCCTTCCCCTCCACAAATTATACCGACATCAAATACAGTGAAAGGAGGGGTTATACTGTGGGGGAGGGACATACATAGCAACAAAGAAATAATCTTATAAATGCGTTAGAAACAATCGCATGAAAGAAAAAAAACATTTGAATACATATCTTAGGGTTCATTTCCCTAACACTACCTTATTTGACCTTTTCTGCTTGACTCAGACATATACTAGATATAGTGAATATATTTATATCTTGGCTAAGGATGAGATGTGCCATATAGCAACATGGCAAAGAAGGCAGCCCTCTCTGGAGTTTCCCTAGCCTGCTGTGCACACTCCCAGTCATCCTCCAATCAGACTTCCAACACTTGAGACACATGTGCTCCATATGACATCATCTTGGTATGTGCACTGAACTACATTATAAAGAATATAATGAGTTTGCTAATTAATTCACTATGTCGGCCATCCTCTCATTGAAGGGAATTTTTCATTACAACTCAATTCTCTGTTGAATTCAGTGATATTCAAATAATACTAAACAACTTGAAATGTTTATAGAAGAGTAAAGAATATATAACAGTGCCTGTCTAAACAGAGATATATCTTAATTGCCATCAGAAATATATCTCATATTAACATCACCACATGTATTAAATGAAGATTAAATTATACTATACTAATTTTTATGCCTATCATTTACTTAGAATTATGTGCATGGCTATCACTCCCTTGTTTTCTCTTAAAATGAGGCTTTAAGAGTGACCTTCCTAAGGTCAAATGGATACTAGCCAAAAGAAATGCTATGAGAACCAGGCTGCAGAGTACAGGCTGTTTACAACCAGGTGAGCTTTACCAATTTTCCCCAAGTTTTTAAAGATGGTATCTGGGTAATAAGTGAATTGATCATGCTTTATTGTTATTAATTTCCTAATTTATTCACTCTCTTAATTAACTTGTTAGTGTCTGTAACAGATATAAAACACTAATATGTGCCAAGAATTCAGTGCATTAGGCCTACTATATTACTGATGGTGAGGAAAATACACATAGCATAACAATGAGGGAGACAGGTGATTAACTAAATTGATTAAAACCATACTAAAAGTCTACACTATATTCTCTTCGTGCAATAACATTTTATAACAGTCATATTGACCTGCAATGTTTTTTAAGAATATCAGCCTACATTTCTCTAGACCTTCTACAGTTTATTCTTCACATTCCTTCCTAAGGACTATATGGTAGAGGGGCTTTACTTATGGGACTGTCTCTACAGGATGAGAAGAGACTCTTTAAAGTTATTACATAGGATAGATTCTCATATCCCATAACTTTACAAATAGCAGATACCACACTGATAGAGAAAAAAAGGTTAACTGCAATATACACAAAAGTAAAAAGAAGAGGAAACCTAAGACAATTGGTTTAACCACTAAAATTCAACAGTAATAAACCTAACACAGAACATATCAGTCCTCACTATAGAGCTTTCTTTTGAAAACTGGCTAGAATTCCATGGATTAAATATGTGCTTTCAATTCAACTTCATATAAAAGAGCCTTAAAGAAGTACAACTATTTACTAACATAGAAAAGAAATATTTTACTTGTCAACCTATTTCTAACTCTAAGAAAGGATTCCTTCACAATTGCTGGTCTCTGACGGTAACACAAACAATTTCCATCACATCTTAAAGCATGGCTCACAAGAAAAAGTTATTTTAGTACTTTTAAAAAATGGGGGTGGGGGATGGACATAAAATCCAGGCAACCTGTGGCTCATACCTATAATTCTAGCTACTCAGGAGGCTGATATCTGAGGATTGTAGCTCAAAGCCAGCCTGGGCAGAAAAGCCAGTGAGACTTATCTCCAATTAATCACTAAAAGGAATAAAACAAACAAACAGAAAAAGCCAGAAGTGGAGCTGTGTTTCAAGTGGTAAAACACTAGCCTTGAGCAAAAGAAGTTCAGGGACAATGCCCTGGCTTTACGATAAATGCTAATACAGTTCTCATAATTCACTGGTTACAGTTTTAAAACTAAATCACATGTTATTATGGTTAACTCCCATCTCACAATAGACATGTTTTCGAGTTTTGATTACTGTCTCTTGGAATACAAAGTAAACAAATTCTGTCAGCCATAAGACATCACAGCAGTATTTTGGGAATGATGGATAAAGAATTGTTTTTGTATACACACAAACACACACATCCTGGATGTTACATATGATAAATGATAAATAATAATTCTTAACATTTAGATACAGAGATAATGAGCTTTCCATTCACACCTGAAAAGTATAGAAAGGTCCCTGGAAACAATACCTGCTGATTCTGGTAGGCGGTGACAGTGGTGAAGACAGTTTCTGGGAAGGAGAACACCTTCACTCCCTCGCCGGATGGAACAGGCTTAATGGGAGAAAGATCATCTCCACAGTCTTTACGGATCACATGTACTCGAGGTTGGTATTTGTGCATAGAATGAAGGATAATCTGTATCAAGGAAAGAAAACTCAGATTTAATCAGGAACCTCTCCTTAATCTTCATAGTATGACTAGATATTTACCATGCAAAATAAGTTTCTGCTGGAACTGAACTTTTGCAAAGTACCTTCTCCCTTTCTCCAGTATCAAAGGTGTGAAACTCTAGGCTTTGAAATATTGCTTATTTGGCTGATATGCTACTACTTGAGCCATGCCTTTTTGCGGGCTTTTTAGTAATTGGAGATGGGAGTCCCTTAGACTTTTCAACCAGGGTTGGCCTTTAACAGTGATCCTCTGGATGTCAACCTCCTGCATAATTAGAGCTATAAATCTGAACACCCCCCTCCAGTGCCTGGCCAGAAGCACTACTTTAATAAAATACATCAAAACAGTGAGAGAGGACTAAGAGGTTGTTTGTAAAAATACGAAACAAAAAACACTATTTTAATGAAACTTTGGCTACAATCATGAGACTTCAATGCTAATTTTTGTTGCTGAAAACACGACTAAATTTATAAAAATTGTACTTACCAAATTGAATCATACATTTAAAAACAATGAAAGAAAAAAAGATTTAAATCATTATTTAAATACTATCAAATAGATCTTTCAAAAATAAATGCTGCTTTATGGATTTCTTCACAGGGAATTCATCTTTTATGTGTGACTGTACAAGTCCACTCAAGGGCAAAGCTAAATTTAAAGACACGTTAGTATCTGCCTTGTATGTGGCTTGCAGAGTCTCTGATTTGCCAGAAGAGCACAATATCCATCCTCTAACATAAGGCTTCTTCAAAACTCAGACTGGAGCATAGGAAAAGCTGCCCTCTCAGATTTTGCTGTGGGAATCCATGATACAGTTTAACTCTTTTCTACTAAAAAATTTCACTCTTAAAATTGATCAAATTCAGAAGTCATGAAAATGTGTAGCATATAACTTTTTAATTGTTGTAAGTTAAAAGCCATGTATATATGCCCAACGTGAGTTAGATAAAAGAACATTCACACTATGGGTAGTAGTCCTGAGCTGTTGCTAATACACTATTCGGGAATTTTTCAACCACATAATTAAACATTTCTTTTTAATCATAAAATAAAAAGTAAATAGGACCCAGACAAGTTTACAAATACATCGTGACTACATTAAAATAGAGTTGAAAGGACTCGTACAAAGGTCTGAACAGTGATTACTTTTAAAAATCTGTGACTAAAGGTGTTTTATTTCCCTTCTTTTTATGTGTTAATGCTTTTAAAGCTGAAGCCGGCAGAGGGGATAAAATAGGTTCACCCAGTGGTATTATCTATTTGCTGCTGGAGTTCTAAATTCAGGTTTCTGAAATTACTTTAAATAACAAATTTCTAACATTCCTGAGATATAAGATTTGAAGTCAGGTTTTTAGATACTACAAAGTTGGTGGTTGATTTGCTTCATGTTCTGGAGGTGGGCAGTGTAATATGTTAAATTCAGAACCTTCAGTCAATCCAAACTCAAACAGTCCTATGCCTGGAGAGTGTTTGCTGACACACAGAGGCTGTCTGTAGCCTCTGCTAGTAACACTGTAGTCACATTTTTTTTGCATGGAAAGTTTTCTTTCTGACAGTAGAAGAAATTCCTGGATAATATATCTAATAGACATGTTTCCAAAGGTGGAAGTAAAACGATGAGGAAAAGGTATAAAGGGGCAATAATCCTCATCATCACCTGCGTGTACACACACACACACACACACACACACACACACACACACACACACACACACACACACGCACACACACACTTGAACAATCTTTAAGAAAACCTCTTTCTTTCTAGGCCTAAGAGCAAAATTTCAATGATGCATGAAGGACTTATGAAATCAATTTAAAGATTTGAATCAATTTTTTTAAATAAGTAAAATTATAAGGCTTAGAGTGTGATGCTTGTGGTAAGATAAGTGGTATTTAAAAAAACATTTTGTTAGCTTTATGTTTGCCTTGCACTAGGTCATAGCATATGTCTTGCTGTAAGTCAGATGAAAGCAAATCAAAATTTTTTTTTTTTTTTTTGGGTCCGGTCGTGGGGCCTGAACTCTGGGCCTGGGTGCTGTCCCTCAGCTCTTCAGCTCAAGGCTAGCACTCTACCACTTGAGCCACAGCACCACTTCCGGCTTTTTTCTTTTTGCTTATGTGGTGCTGAGGAATCGAACTCAGGGCCTCAGGCATGCAAGGCAAGCGCTCTACCACTGAGTCAACTTCCCAGCCCAGCAAATCAAAATTTAATGCTAACAATTAATTATAACCATAAGCATTTTCTAAACAGATTTTCAGTGAACACAGAATGTCTTTTTCTCTTCCTTCCTCAGTATATGATTGCTAGTGGCTTTTTTCTACTAATCAAATACTAAGTTTATATCCTTGAAATCCTAATATCTCAGCAGTGTTGCAAAATATCTTCCAGTTAGTTTTTTACCCCAGGGGCTTGAACTCAAGGCTTGGGCACTGTCCCGGAGTTTTTGTGCTCAAAGTTAGTTCTCTACCACTTTTAAGTGACAACCCCATTTTTGGCTTTTTGGCAGAAATCAGCCTTCCAAGTAGCTAGGATTATAGGCCTGAGCCAGCCCTCAGCCAGGAGCTTTATTTTAAGTTCTGCTGTGGAAGGATAGCATCCAGGGAGGAAGCAGAGGTCTGCTCCCTGCTCTCTAGTAATATGTCTGTGTCCCTTTCCTTTTCCAAAATGCAAGATGATAATAATGTTTACATTTCTAAGTCTCATAAAACTGGCATTCTTACCCCAAATTACAAATGGAGAAGCTAAAGTCTACAGAAAAAGGGATTTCTACATCCTCAATCTGAAGGCCAGCTCACTTAGCCCCCAACCGGTTTTCTCACATCTTACATCGCAGAGCTGGCCAAGCCCAGCAAATGAACCAAAAAGATGGTTCACAACCTATACAGGCAGTTAATTAAGGCTGAACTTGTGTCTCGGTCACCATGTGAAAATCTATGATAGAATTATATGAGTATTTTTTCCAAATTATTATTATAGTAAGTTTTTACTTCAGCAAATCATTTTAAGTATGAACAGAAAACAGCACAAGATATATTTTGTACCAATAACTGTTCATGCTAATTCAGCTTTTTCCCTCTGTTTTCATTTCCTAACTAATCCCTCTTTAGAAAATTGGTATCAAAGTTTGAGAGAACACTTGGCCTCTCCCTCTTCTCAAGCGAAGGGACAAAGTTTTGCCGATAAACAAATCAAATAATAGCATCTATAAATTCTCATAGTCTCCATTCCTTTAAAAAATGAATTGCAGAGCCTAAGAAAAACTGAAGAGAAGCCACTTGACCTATCACAAATTTAATACATAGCATATTTCAGAGCACTAGAATAAACTGACTTGAAATGAGGGAAAAAAATTTTATATGGGTTTTCTGTTTACTAGTCAACAAAAAGTAGATTTTTATTTTATGAAGAATGGGTATTCACGGTAATGTCTCCAAATAGTTATATGCATTTTAATTTTATATTTTTATCCTATCTGAGAAATAACTTTAGGCTGGGCACAGTGGAGTATAATGCAGAACTAGCTGATGTATGCCTATGTCTGTTTATTAGGGAATAATTGCGATAGCGGTCTAAAGATTTTTTAAGGTAGAGGGGTACTAATGAGAGAAGGCTGGGCTAACAAGAAGAATAAAAAGCACAAATAAGATGGAAGTAGATGGTTTGAATGTATGAAAATAAAACAAAAATTTCAATTGTTCTAGGTAGAGGAGAAAGGGAGAGTGATAAGTAGGTTAAAAACATAGGAAATATGCATAGAAATGTCATATGAACACTTCCTCTCATATAATGTATACTAATAACAAAGAAATCCTAAAAAATTGATTTTCAGTATTTCTATAATAATATACTGTATCACTAGAATGTTTCAGATACTGCTGAACAAGGTTCAGTTCTTTATATGACACTAATACTTTTATCAATATAATTTTATTCGCAGTAAGGTGTTATGCAGATGTGTTACAATTTCATAAAGTAGTGAGTACAATTTTAGTTCAATTAGTAATATTTGATTTTTAATGAATTAGCAAACAAAATAATGAATAGCCAATTTGTATATTTCGTAAAACATGCAGGTATGGAGAATCATTGGCTTTATTTATCATTGACCACAATAATAATAACATGCACAGCTGAAAATAATAATTCTATCTGATATCCATGATCTATTTTCTTTGTTCTGTTTAGGTAAAGCTGTTTTTTTTTCTTTTGTTCAATGCTACTGAGTAGCATTGTCACAATGACACATGTAGAAAAGCACAAAGTGTTTTACCACATTTTTCTACTTTGAAGACTAGATTTGAGGGTGTAGAGGTGTAGCTCAATGTAGAACCCTTGCCCTGGGCTAGATCCCTAGTGTTACAAGTAAGATAAAGTAAAAGCTAGATCTAAGACCAGCATTATTTATTTCTAATTAGATGTATTGAAAATACCTGAAGTTTGACCAACAGGCAGCTGTTTCTTGCCTCCAGATGACCTAAATTCCCATGTTGGGATAAGTCAAGCAAAGGACTTATAAGGAACAGAAAAGACTTAACTTCTTGCGTCTTAGTGTAGTAGCTTGTTTTTGCTTTATGGGTGATATTGCATATAAAGCATCTGTAGATGCAAACTTTATAGTTTATCAGCTACCCTGATTCACTCAAAAGTTTTAAGAATCCAATATAACACATGAGAAAACCAAGCCTGAAAGATTAGAAGTGACAGGCCCAGTAACTTCCCCAAATTAGAATAAATGTGCTATATTTCTAAGCCATTGGAAGTTCCTTCCATCAGTTTGCATTTTTGTGTCAAAGGACTTTGGCAACCACTCTTGAAATTGGAAATGAGTGTGGCTGACTAGCAAGGCTCCCTTCTAGTACTGTGGGTGCAAGTGCTGCTGAGGCTCAAGGTTCATCATTTCCTTGTAAATGCTCTTGCAGGGAGATGGTCTTATCTATAAATGCTGTCATTCAGAGGACAAAAAAAAACTTCCCTGTAAATAAAAAATAATAAAGTCAAGTCCCAGGGTCTACATGAAGTTTTCCAATCATAATGCTGCCCAGTGAACTACTATAAATTGCTAGCATAGAGTTGACTATACATTCTGCAATGATCAAGATCAGATCGCTGCGGCGAATGCTTTCACCAATTTCAAAGATAGAGGACAGGTCTACTCTGTATTCTCTCCAGTACACATTTCTGAACAATAATCTTTGGAAACAAACATAATGGCACATCATCTCTGTCTCACTTGGATCTACGAGATCTATATCTAGCCTGAAAAATAGTTCATCTTTTCAATCACTTTATTACTCAATTTTTTAAAAAAGCATTGCAAGGAAAAAGTTTTGTATAAAGGTTTGTGGGGGAGAGACAGAATAAAAAGAAGGAAATATTATCAAAGTACATTACACTCAGTATGAAAATGTCACAATGAAACCCCTCATTTTGTACAATATAATATATGCTAATAAAATAATTAAAAAATAGAAACCAAGTGTGGTTGCTGGAGCCTGTAGACCTAGCAGAGATCAGGGGAACTCAGTTTGAAAGCAACTTGGGCATAAAAGTCATTGAGACTCCATCTCAACAAATGTGCCTGTTAACCCAGCAACATAGGGAGGGACTAGTAGGAGAAACTCAGCCTAGTATGGTCTAGACCTCAAGTGAGACACTACCTTGAAAATAACCAATAGGAGAAGGGGGTGGAGGCATAACTCAAGTGGCAGAGCATTTGCATTGCAAGTGAAAGACCCTAAATTCAGTCTCCAATTCTGCTCTCCCTGCAAGAAAAAACACCTAACCTCCCCCCAAAAAAATTTTTCCCATAAATAAAAAATAATAAACAATAAGTAAAATCAAGTCGCAGATCAACATGAAGTTTTCCAATCACAATGCTACCCACTCCCACATCTTTAGCACAGTTAAACAGGAACTGAGAGGACAAAATTGTAGGGAAACACTTTCGAAAATTATTTCTCAGTAGAGCCCATAATTGTTTTTCTTGTGCCAGCACTAGGGCTTGAACTCCCAGCCTCACATTCCAGCTCAACGTCTTCACTTCTGCCATTTAAACCATGTCTCCACTTTCAGCTTTTTGCTGATTAACTGGATATACTGGATTTAGAGTCTCTCAGATGTCTATATGAGTTGGCTTGGAACTGCAATCAACAGATCTCGGCCTCTTGAGTAGGTAAGCTTACAGACATAAACCACAGAAGTAGGATTGAGTCCACAATTTTTATTAGAGGCTACAGTAACTTTCTCTAGTTAGGAGATTGAAGGATAGCAAAGGGGTAAGTCCCTGAGAGGTCTCTGTCAGGAAAGAGGTGGTTGAATTAGAAAGTCCCATCACAATGGTAATATGTCCTCTTAGATATTGTCACAAACAACAGAGTTACAAAGAAATTCCTAATCTCTGATACAGTCCATTTAGGGCCATCAAATTAAATAAACACAACAGACGACTCTAAGCTTTCCCCATCTTTCTTGCTGAAATAAGATCCTGCCCAGGACATGGGAATTTGTGCACCTTTCCTTCTCTTTTCATCTCGGTTAGATCACATTTTACAAAGTTTACAAAAATATTTTGTTTTAATAAACAATGGAAAGGAGCCTTTTCCCCTTTTATATTCTTCTCTGGTATCAACTGATCGATACATTTTTACATTCACAAAGGCATTTCATTTCTTTGCTTCCAGATGGCACAAAAATAGCCCTCCTCGTTCCCCATATGAATTACATCTCTTTACTAGACTAACGCATCTGTCACAATCTGAAGAGAAACTTTTCACCTTTGTCTGGATTTTTGTTGTCTAGATTTTGCTTATTTTCTGCTATTTCTGATTTTCCTAATAGTAATATATTTTCATTAGGTTCAAGCAATTAACTTTCACTTTGTAACTGCATAAGCAATTAACTTTCAATTTGTAACTGTACTTCTATGTTTTAAACAAATGCCATGTAATAATTTCATGCCAATGTATATTTTAAAGCTGTATTCTTAAACTGTATTATGCATAAATATATAATGGTTTTAGCCGAGGGCTAAAACTGATGGCATGAATGCTCTTTTTGAGCTTTTTTGCTCAAGACTAGCACTCTACCATTGAGCCCCAGCTCCACTTGCAGCTTTTTGGTGGTTAACTAGAAATAATTAACTTTACTGCCTGGTCTAATGGTAAAGAGATCACACTATAATCCTCAGATCTCAGCCTCCTGAGTAGCTATAATTACAGGCGTACTATATTTTTTTGTAAATAAGCAATTCCAAGTGGAATTTAATCTAAAACTTCCTATTAAAAAAAAGAATAACTCCAACATTTCAATCAGCCCTCAATAAGAAAGGAGAAACCAGTGTTCTCTCAGTGAATCGAACCGAAAAATAATTGTTATAATTTGAGTACATGAGACTATAAAAATAAACATAGAGATACAACAGAAGTCTAGGTACTTGGCTCAAGTCACTGGCTACCAAGTGAAAGGGTCTGAGTTCAAGCACTAGTATTCTGAACATTTTAAAAAATTATAAAAGGTAACAATTAAACCAAGGTAATCTTATGTGAAATTTTATTAGATGTAGCTTAACAATCTAGACTTTGGGGCTCAGAATGTGGCTTAGCGATAGAGTGCTTGCCTAACGTGCATGAAGCCCTGGGTTCTATTCCTCAGTACCACATAAACAGAAAAAGAAGGAAGTGAAACAGTGACTCAAGTGGTAGAGTGCTAGCCTTGAGCAAAAGAAGCTCAGGTACAGTGCCCAAGCCCTGAGTTCAAGCCTTAGGACTGGCAAAAAATAAGTTAATTAATTAATTAAAAAATCTAGATGTTGCATTTGTGTTCCAGTCAAAATTAAGTAGTCAAAGGTCTTCTTCAAGGTAAAGTACTTAAGATACTCTCATGATATACCTTTGTTTATAAAAATTTACTCATGGCTGGGTCAAGTAATAGAGCAAGTGTGATGTCGAATCCCAGCATGACCAAAAAAAAAAAAAAATTACTCACAAACAGTTCACGTCACCTTTTTAAGAAAAGAACAAATAAATTGGTAGCCCTTTTGGGTACGTTGTTTTCTTTAACAGGTATTTAAAAGGTCCTTCATATCTATAATCCTAGCTAAGAAGCTGAAGTCTTAGGATCAAGGTTCAAGCAACTCAATTAACCATTAAAAGCTAAGAGTGCAGATGAGGTTTGAGTGGTCTGAGCACCAGCATTGAGCAAAAAGCAAAGTAAGACTGTTAAGGCTTTGAGTTCAAGCTCCAAAATCAGCACAATTAATTAATTTATTTTAAAAAGCAAAAGGTATGTCAGCCCTGTTTCAATCAAAACTCTCAAACAACAAAAACTTTAACACACTATGGAAATCAGCATATAGCCAGTTATTTATTAAAATACTAAAGCAAAAACCTCACCTAAAAGCAATATGCTTGAAGAGAGCACTGTGACTCAAAATGGTAGAGCACTAGGCCTTGAGCAAAAAGCTCAGAGATGGTGCCCAGGACCTGAGTTCAAGCCAATGACTAACAACAACAACAGCACTATGCAAAATTTTATTATTAATAAAATGTTATTAATAAAATGTTAAAAAAAATAATAACATTGTTTGAATGGCTGAACTTGGACTTTAGTATCAGATTTCAGCAGTTTTAGGAATAAAAGGAATTATTGTTGTAACAATACTTTGACACATTAGATGTCATTACAAAACAATTGGGAGCTTGCAGATGGAATACACAGCCTAAGCTCGGGTCATTACTGAGAAGCATGAGCCTCAGCTGGGAAAAGGAGCTAGATGCACAGAGGATACAATAAATCATTACCCCTGTTTACCCAACTCCCAAGCATTTTTAGAGTATAATAATTAGCACCTCATGGGATCTGACACAAATGTTTTAGTTTTAAAGAAAGATCCCTGCCTTGTGCTCTTCCATCCAACATTAATGCAAAATAAAACTTTAACCTATTAATTGCTTCATAGGATACTTCAGCATATTCTTTGATGCAAATATGACCTTGATTATCAGGATGTATTGTACGTGCTGATCAACAAGAAAGCAACAGTGTGATCTCAGAAGTGTCCCAGACATCTGTGCCATCTTAATGGTAGTGTATTAGAGGGGTGCTGTACTCACATGGCCTTGGTCATCGAGTTCATTGTTGGTGAGCTTCAGCTTATCGAAACTGATCACTTGTCTCATCCAAGTCTCCCCAGAGGCAGGTGAGTCTGGATGAATATACACCCTAGGTGGTACGGGGGAGTCGGCATTACCTGCCACCATCCATTTAGAGCTGTGATAAACATACCTAGAAAGCAAAGCAAAGATTCTCAGAATGTGTACTATCCTTTTCCTGGACTTTCCAAGTTACTAGCATCAGACACAATGTGAACCCTTTTTAAAAGAAGTCTAAAATACTCTGGTTTTCTCTTTACACTTGAAATAAGCCTTTAAGCACTTTTCAATGTTTCTGAAATAGTGGGGGTAAGATACTAAGGACTTAGTGAAAAAGTATGTGCATTATCCTCCTGGGAAGCAAGTATCTTAATTCTAAGGAATGATACTTACATTAGCATTGCCATCTGTATTTTCTCTTTTTTACCTTAATACTCAATTGATATGAAAAAGCTATGAAATCGGCAAGCCTACTTGTAAGAAAATCTAAAACATTTGAAAGGTGTATCTTAACATATTCAATTTCCTTGAAGATCACCCATTTTAGATTTATATGCAGGCTGATGAGGCAGAGGAGAGGACATTTTCATGCTTTTATAGGGAAAAAAGTTTTATCTTATATTACTTAGAATTTTTTCCTAATGCTCTAACACTATAAGCTGAGAATAAGACAATTCAGTTTAATTTAAAATTTTTGAATAATTATAAAAATATAAGCTACTATTAATCTATTTTGCTTTACTCTTGTAAGAAACTTTTGGAAAATACTTTTCCAACACCACTAATTAAAGTACAACTCACCCTTTGAAAATGATAGCAAATTTAATTAGTGTTGCTTTCCTTTTTTTTTTCTTTTTCTTTTCATTCTTATTTTTATTTATTTTGGTTTTTTGCCACTACTGAGTCTTGAACTCAGGGCTGTGTGCTGTCACTTAGTTTATCACTCAAGACTGGCACTCTATTATTTGAGCCACAACTCCACTTTTGGCTTTTTGATCATTACTTGTAGATAAAAGTCTCAGAAACTTGCCAACTGCTGGTGGCTCATGTCTGTAATCCTAGCTAATCAGGAGGCTGATCACCTTTGAAGCCCCCCTGGATAAGAAAGTCCAGGAGACTCTCATCTCCAATTGACCATCAGAAAACCTGAAGTGGTGCTATGGCTCAAAGTGGTAGAAAGCTAGCCCTGAGAAAAAAGAATAATAATGCTTAAGGACAGTACCAGGCCCTAAATATTCAAGTCCCATGCCAGACTAAAAAAAAAAAAAAAAAGTCTGTCTCTTTCTGCCTGAGCTAACTTTGAACCACAATTCTCAGATCTCAGACCTCCTGAGCAGATAGGATTACCAGCATGAGCCCCAAGTGGCTGGGTTTAATATTACTTTTCTAAGTAAGAGAAAAATATCCCATTCTTTTATTTTTATGTCAAATAAACTGAATAGTAACAAAACAGTTAAATTACAAAGTTCCAAGTAATATGTGATATCTGAAAATCTTACTATATTAAGATGATAATTTATTAATGTTAGTCAAAAACTAGGATCTCTGATCTGCAGGTCTGGCTCAGGTATGGCCTGAATAGCAAAGCCTAAGTTTAAACCCTGGTACAACAACAAAAGAGAGAGAGAGAGAGAGAGAGAGAGAGAGAGAGAGAGAGAGAGAGGAGAGAGGAGAGAGAGAAGAAAACAATAAATACTCTTAGATATTTTCTACCATTTGTGTGTTAAACATTGCATATGATTTTATAGCAATAACTCGTCAATAGTCTTTAAAAATTCTATTTGTGTAGTATACAGATTTTTTTTTGTAAATAGCATGAAACAATCATAAAGCAAGCCTCTTTACTTCAACTGCGGTCCGGTTCTCTTGAGTCAAATATGCTGGTATTTAATTCCTTTTCTTAGGGAAAATAGAATCTACCACAAATGTTTAAGAATTTTCCTTTAATTAGTATTCTGTAATTTTTAACAAATAAGTTTCTAGCAATGGACTATTACAAATATTAATTTTATATTACAATTGGCAATCATTTTTAACGTGATCAAATAACATTGTTTGAGATTGTCACAAGTTTTATAAGAATGCTGAAAAAGTTGGAAAATAAAATGAAAATATTAGAAAGCTATACTTTTATATAAATTTGATTACTACCAAAATAGTTATGTATTCAGTCAAAACTGCAAAATTATGCATATTGAACAGTTCAAAACTACACATCCACTAAGAAAATAAGTGCTAGATTTACACATTCTTTGCAAAACATTTTTAAATACAAATATTAATAAATTTTTAAGATGCAACATAAATGAAAGCAAATTTATGTTTTACAATTTCATTTTTAAAATCTAGCATTTAAATACTGATGTATAGCTTTTTCTTACTTTCTTAAATCAATGTTTATTTATTCCTTGTGAGAGTACGTAAAAATTGGTTTAGTAAAATAAAGTAGTGAAATTTTATAAAAAGAGATTTAGAAGAAGAAACAAGATTAAAACTCAGAAAAGAATGATTTCCAGCTCCATGAAAAAGTACAGGACCACAGATATGGGGAGACAAAGGGTGAACAAATGCAGTATTGGTGCTCACTAGACAATATATTGAAAATGAATTACACAATTTGTGGATGAAGATCGGATGGAAAAACTGGGAGAGAGTGAGGGAAGGGGTAACACTGTCTATAAAGAAATGTACTCTTTATCTGACTTATGTAACTATAACTTCACTGAACACCACCTCATAGCAACAATAATATTTAAAAGAGAATTACATTATTTTTCTCAATATCAAAACAAATAACAGTATGACTTTTAAATCATGTATATTTAATAAATCAATGCTTTCCAATTTCTGTTAGGCAGTAAATAACTTTTGCAAAATGTCTAAATAATTAATTAAAACAAGTGATATACCTTATATAAAATGACAAATAAAATTCAATTTTTATTACTCATTTTGGTAGTATTTCAAAAGTCTACATTCATATTAAAATCTGTGCACTTTCAAAACTATAAACCAGCGCCAGCTTCACAGAAAAGACTCAAAAATTTAAGTGACTCAAAATCTGTTTTTGTTTAAAAACTTACTCTACACTGTTCATTGTGTATTTATGACAGTGAGAAACAAGAGGGAGAGAGAAAACATTAAATTCAAGACTTCCTTTTTAAAACTGTAGCACTTAAGTATCAGAAAAATAAAAAGCACTGTCATTCAAACTTTGTGATTTGCTTTATGCAGAAGTGAGAGAGCAAAGTTTGGCTTGAAAATGAAAAACACATATCCTTTCACAGTTTATCTCATGTTTAATTAGTAATTCTTTCTAAACCTGAATATTATAAAATTTCTATAAAACAATTCTTAACTTCCAACCAAAAAAAAAAGCCAAGGGTAACAGTTCATTACCAGTTCAGAGATACCTTAATATCACAATGAATTAAGACATACTAGTTTTCTAACTTGTACACAAACAATTTTCTCAGTTTAAAGGGGAAATGCTTTTAATGATTTTACATGTAACAAGACATAGGAAACTAATGTGAAGATGAAAACCATGAAGAATGTACACTTTATTTACTAGAATGGGTCTCTATAAACGACACACCGTTTCCTCTCAAAACTGGAACTGAAACGTGAAGTAGCACAAAAGATAAGTTTAGCTTAACTACACCAAATTAGCCTTTTAAAAATCTCAAAGATTAAAGACATTTCTGCATCAATTAAAAGTAAAAAAAAAAAAATAGAAAACAAAAACAACTTCCCATGTTTGCTGTAGAAGGCACCATCTGGGCTGCTGGAACCCAGGGATCTGGAAAATCTACAGGTTAGAGGGGGGTAGGGGGGAAATACAGTTGTCACAGATAAAACAGTCACTAAGTGTGCAAAATCCTAGTGTTTTCTTATCCTGTATCCAATCACTGTACCTGTATCGTTTATTATCCACAGGTACAATATCCATGGCAATATAATACTGCTGGTGAGGATCTAATCCTGAGATCTTCACTCTCATTGCAGGAAACATTCGCCTGTTCATAAGAGAAGGGAGAAGAAGAGGGTTTGATTTTGCTTTTGTTTGTGATTAAGAATAAAGAACATATATAGCAAAGATATCTCTCTAATCTGTATTCTAAATGTAGAAAATTTATAGCATCCATTTTGGTACTATAAAGTGCCCGAACATAGATCATATCAAACTGAAGGTTTTTTTTAATGCAATTTGTTGTACACTGTGCACATGTGGTCCATGTTTACTGAAGTGTCACTAGAGCTAAAAATAAAAGAATTGCACATTTCAGAAATAATGGCATTCTAGAAACCATTTCTTAAACAAAATCAATAAGCACATTTACTTTAATAAATACAAATATTAAAATAACCACATGGTAGGAATAGAATTTTCAAATTTCTGAAAGGTGATAAAATATCTTATGATGTGAAATTTTAAAAGGGTTATAAAAAAACCACAAGGAGCCAATGTGCCATGCTATAACCAAACAATATGTTCTTTATTGAGACAGGACTTCCTGTCTGCAGCATGGTGAAGGTGAAGTGCAAAACTTGCTCTAAATTTGAAAGGTATAGTAAAACTTCTTTATTGAAAACAGAAACTAAACACAATGTATATTTACCAAATCCTTCCCCCACCCTACCTCAAAAAATGTTTCTTTTTTTTTTTTACCATGGTTATTTGAAACGTTGGTAATGAAAGCAAATGAAAATCTTTTTTCTCTTTGCTTCCCTGAGATGCGTATCAAAGGAAATGCAAAATAAATGTGCCTATCCCTTCAAAAGAAAATGACCACCTAAGGCAAATTATTGTATATAAAAAACACAGAAGAGGCAAATTATTGTATATAAAAAATACAGACGTTTACTCTTTTTGAATGTTCTTTCAATGACGTATATCTAAGACCCTTCCAGAGAATCTAACTTTGGTTAATTTAACCAAATGGCACAATGTTCAGTAGTTATTTACCAATTTTTTTTCTATAACTGTTATTAAAGACCACACATGGGGGGGGGGAGTTCATGATTAAGCATGAAAACAGTTTAATACATTGGCTGTTGTAGTGTTACTTCAGTGCACCTGTAAGATAAAGAATAAAGGTGTTTAACTATATCCTTTATAAGACAACTGTTGCTTTGTGTTGTTGAAGACCAAATTTGGATCATTAATAAAAGCTCGGTGAAAATGTAGACGGTACCATATGGATTCAATAAAATGGTTTTGTAATTTCTAATAAATTTGGATACTTTTTTGCTATCCAGGTTTTTACCATGTGTACTCCCTGAAAGAGTTGCGTGTGCTTTTTAAAGTTCCGTTTAAGGAAACATTATTCATAGATCTCCTTGCACTAAATGAACTGAAAACTTTAAAATGTAAATGTTCCTACCTCAAATTAATACGATGTGACCAACAAATTCATTTATTTTAATAAGTGATGGATGTGCAAGTTTCATACTTCAAAAAAGCAAAACTATATGTATATATTTAGCATTCTTCACCAAATTTAAGCAAACAGATTGGATTTAAGGTAGGAAAAAAATTTAACCGTGTAGCTGTAAATCTATAAACAGGATGATTTTTAAAAATCAGAGTCATTATTCTTACAGCTATAGACGATCAAACCTGCGTCTTAATGAAAAGTTACCGCTACTTTTCATCCTAGTATGAAAACAGCGTAATATTTCGTGTTCTTGAAGCGTCCGGAAATATGATAAAGGACCAGCCTGGAGACTTAGCTTCCAAAAAATATGAGGAGGGACGAATCTATCCTCTAGTTTCAGAACAGGTAACTACAACCTGAAGAAGTGATCTTGTATCTCCGACTCCTTCGAATTCTAAACTGCAATTACCGGGAGACCACGGCCTGCCTGAGCCCCTCAGAACCACACTCCGGCCAGCCTTTTAAAAGCGAGGGGCCGGGACCAGTTCCCCTCCCTCGGAAGAAAAAGCTCCCAGCGCTCCCAACCGAGGAGTGGGCTGGGGCTGGCCCGGGTCCTCCACGGAGTCAGCGTGGTGGCTCCACCATACCTGCCGGCTTTGGTGATGATCATCTCCGTCCCAATCTCGTGAAAGCGCTTCCAGAGTTCAGCTCCTTGCAGATCTACCCTGGGGGCCTGCGGGGAGGGCAGCGGGGTCCCCGGCCGGGCCAGGGCGGGCGTCGGGGACGCTTTAGGGGAACCTCCTGGAGAAGCCAGTGGGGAAGCGCCTTGCAGGAAGCCGTCCTCAGCGCCTCCTGGACAGCAAAGGGCAGAGATGGGGCACCGGTGAGGGCTCCCCAAGGGAGGACAGCCGGAGAGACCTCGTCTGCGACCGGCAACCAAGAAGGAAAGGGCTGGGAGCCGGGGGACACTGTCACAGTTATCCGGGCCTCCAGACGGCCAGGCCCCTTCTGCCCAGGGGCTCCGGACACTGAATGCGGCCTGCCCGGCCCCCGTGTCCTCAGACCCGGGGAGACACACGGGCCACGTCCGCCCCACCCTACAGCCGCCTCGGGCTTCTCAGCGCCGGGAGACGCGTGTCCGCAGGCCAAGACCCCCGGGCACGCTGCGACTCTCCGTGGCGCACGCCCCCGGGTGCGCCCCAGGCCCCGAGTCCAGGACCGCTCTCTCGACAGGCATCTGAGGCGCCGCTGGCCCGGTCTGATGCATTTTCTAGAAACTTCTTCAGACCTGGCTCTCGCTGCCCCAGGCTCTTTAATTCTATCATCAGAGCAGCTAGAAGCGGGCAAAGAGGCACGGGCCATGCCCACCCGCCATCGCAGGAGTCGCTGGAGGGAATCTGGAAGGAAACGACGTGTGCAAATACGCCGCCCTCCCTAGCTACCTTGCACACCCGGTCTAGGGCCTGCACTCCGGTTTCGGGGGGAGGAAGGGAGGTTAGGCCAGGCCGTGGCCCGTCACCCCAACCCAGCCCTGCGCTTTAAAAAAAATCAGTAAAGTGAAAACAGCACCCATGGGTCGCAACCCCCAGGGAAGCAGATGGGGGAAAGCACATCCGCCCCGCCGGGTTCCGCGACTAGCCGCAGCCCGCCGAGGGCGCGGGCGCCCAGTGGGACGACGGCAGCTTCCTAGGCGAGGCTGGAACTCATCTTAGGCATCTGTCGGGTGACCTGGTTGTACCGAGAGCCAAGCGCAGGATCCCCCCAACCCGGACCCAGGCGTTGGAGGTTCGAGCGGTGTCGGCCGCTGTGGGATCCGGGGCCCGGGGCGCACCCGCGCCCACAGACGCGCAGAAGCTCAGGTTCGCCGAGCCGTGCCGACCCGGGCGGGAAGGGGCCACTCACCCGCGGCTCCTCCGGAGCCACAGCTCCGCTCCAGGTCGGCGCAGCTCCGGGCCGGGCCCGACGCCGCCCCGGCTAGTGGTGGCGGGTGCGCTGCTCCCTCATCTCCCTCCGAGGAACTCTTTTCGGCCGCGCCGCTCGTGCGGCTGCAGCCTCCGTCGTCCGCGGCCCCGGCTGCCTCTTCCCCGCCTAGCTTTCGCCGCTTCTTTTGGAGCTGTTGCTGCTTCTCGGCGCCGATCAGCGCCTCCACGGAGAAAGCGTGCGCCTTGAGGCTGAGCATGCTGCACGGAGAGCCCCTCCGCTTCTCGGCCATCCCCGCCGCCCGGCGCCCGCCCGCCCCTCTCTCATATACACCCACGCGGGCACACACACGCGCGCGCGCTCTCCGGGCCCCACCAACAGCTGAACAACTCTCGGGGCCTCCCGAGATCTGCCCCCTTCCCCCAGCCGCGGGCAAACACAACTGTGGCGTTTCCTCTTTCTGGCTTGCGTTGGGATCCGAAGAACCAGGGATGAGACCGCCAAGTTTCCTTCCCCGGGCTCTGGCGCGCTCTCACTGCGGCACTCCTCCGCTCCCACCCCCTGCACGTCCTCCGACTGCTCCAAGATCTGCCTCGACTGATGCGCCAGGGAGGACTAACATGAGAAAGAAAAAAAAAAAAACACTCTGCGGACACAAATTAGGGATTGTAATTGAAATTTGTTGCCTTGATCTGTCAGCACTTCCAAGCAGGAGAGCGGTGGGAAGAACTTGCTCATTAGTGTCAATAAAGCGGAGAGGGGCGGAGCCCAGAGAATTGTCAATCATCCAGATGGCTGGCCAATCGGAAGGCGCCGGCTCTGCGCAACCCGCGCCCACTTCCTTAGAAGGTTGGAAAGGAAAAAAGAAAAAAAAAGAAGAAAACGTCCGGAGCGCAAAGCGCCGCCATCTGGCTTGGGCTTGCCAGCCGCTCTCGGAACCCAGTTGGTCTCGCCACCGCCCACGAGACCAGTCCAGCCCGAACTTTCCAGTTTCTTCTCTCCCTTGGACCTGCGAAGACGGAAACCCTTAGCTTTAAACAGAGAAAAGCACCAAGTGAGCATATCAAAGGTTCATAGAACCTTAAATCACCAGTCCCACAGCCACATCAATTGCCACAACGTAGAACGTTTGTGGAGGTGGTGAGAATTCACGTCCTTCAAGTCGGTAGTCCTATTTAAACATTCCCATGTTTAGTAGCACCGTGGCAATAAGTTTAAATTTTACCCTGTGGATTTTATGCAGGAAAAACGGGTTCAAAATATTTACAGCCTTTATATTTCGAAACAAAATATTATAGATATGTTAAGTTTCGTATAAACTAATTGGAAAAGCCATGTCTTTTTCTGGAGACTCCCTTTTCTTTCAGAGAGTTGTAGTTACTTTAAAGCAAGGTTGTGGGATTTTAACTGTATATTTTCACTTGTATAGACAACTCGAACGCTCCCCCTGAAATCTTCCAGAAGATTTTTTTTTTCATTTCGATAAATACTATTTTATATGATCAGAGGCACAGAGAAAGTAAAATAAATTTTAAGACTCAATTGCAGGTTTTTTTTTAAAGTCAGTGATTTACAATAGCTTCTCATTTCCCCAATTTACCACATTTGTATCAGGATTTTACAATATGTTTCTTTAAGAGATATTGAAAACAACACTTTTTAATTGAGTGACAACAAATATGTACGTGCAGTTTGCTTTAGACTTCCACCTAAACTTTTCTCTGGGGTTAAAAAAAATTTTTTTTTGGCAGAATATTTCTCTGTAGAATAAAACAATTATATTGTACGGAGATTTCATAGTCCTCTTAACCATTGGTATAAAATGCGTGACAAATGAGGGGTTCTTGTTTGTTTGTTTTCTTCTGACTTGGTACAACTGGGACCAATCTTTTTTTTTTTTCGGTATTTTACCGTAGCTGGAGAAGCTCGCAGTTCCTTCAATGCTGGTCAGCACAGTTGGAGCAGGACTGCGCTGGAGGCGATCAGAGGCTCCCGGGGGGCCTTCCAAACACTCCCTCCCCCCACCCTCCAGCCTCCAAACCCTGAAAGACTTAGCAATATCCCTGCGGTGGATGCTTCTTTTAGATACTTGAGAAATGGATTCAATTGGAAGATGTTTTGAATTCACAAAAGAAAGGCTGTGTCACTGTTTTGGAGTTGAATTCACAAAAGAATGGCTCTGTCACTGTTTTTGGAGTTGAATTCACAAAAGAGAGGCTGTGCCGCTGTTTTTGGAGCTATCTGGGGACCCAAGTTTAACTGTGTCAGGCTGATATTTTGTCCAAAAATAAATAAATAAAATCCTACTTGTAAAGTTTGTTGGAGGTTAAAAATGGCATTGCAAGCACAAGCTGCCTTGAGAGTTTGGGCGGGAAAGATGTTAGCTGAAGTGAACTAGCCAGGGTGTATGCCCAAAGCTGGGAAGCTCCAGCCTCTCCGCCCTCTAAGCAGCTGCGTGCGTGATTAGAGCGCTGGGTCCCAGGTCCAGCTCTCCCCAAGCCGGTGGAGCTGCGACCCGCAGCTCCTCCAAAACACCCTTCAGCCTTGGGGATTTAGAAGTACCATGGCCCAGAATGGAGTCGCTGGAACCATTGGGCCCACTCGGACAGGGTGTTCCAGGAGGCTGGTCCCTAGAAAATTAAAAAAAAAACAAAACAAAAACCAACAAAAAGAAAACATGCCGTTTCCAGACGCGAAGACTGTCGTTTTCACACTGATTGAGAAATCTGATCAAGACCTCAGCTTTTTCTTTGGACCGTACAGTTCCAGATCTGCTTTTCTGAACTATTCACTTCTTTTGCCTTTTCCCCTGTAGCTAGAGGCACAACAGACTTCAGAACTTGGGAGATCTGTATTCACCACATCAACCAAGACAGAAAAATCTAGCTTCACTGACATCCACAGGGTCAAAACAAGCAAACAATAATCCTTAGAAACAATTCAAGTGTGCGCAGGTAGCCCGGGGGCAGGACGAGGGCGCTAGCTCCCTTGGTCCTGGTTCCAGCTGGGCTTCGGGAACTTTTCCCTATAGGATAGCACAGACTCTGACTTCCTCTTACTTTCAGGCTACGGGTCTCAGGCTCGAGGACACAGCAGGACCAGAGGTCTCCTTTCCTACCTAGCAGTCATCAGAGACTATATAGCTCACTCCCACTTTGGCTCCCAGAGATGGGGAAGGAACCTCTCCAGGGTACCTGAGAGAGGCTAGCTCCAAACTGGTTGGCCTTGGTGTGAAGGCTAAGCCATAGTTTCGCCAGGCCTTTCCTCAACAGTGTGACAGGCTGTGGTGGGACCCAACTAGATTCCTGAGCTTTTCCAGCAAAGGAAATTCGGATAAAATGCCTATGCATTAAGCAGAACCTCTAAATTAGTGATCAAGCAGCGCTTTTGCAAGTGTCTCTCTGCATATGAACGTGTAACTGCTCCTGTGCACACGTTTTGTGTGTGACTGTGTATGTGCTCATGTCCACCTGTGCAGATGCAAACATGGGAGAAGTGTGTGCCTCTTGTCACTTTAAGCGAGAAATTTTTTTTTTCCAATAGGAGCTACATTAAAGAAATGATCGCAAATAAAGTACACTATTAGGCCTCTAGCAAAAAGAGACATATTCTGTTTCAAATAAGTCACCCATGCAATGAGTCAATTCCAGGAGCTTGCTGGAAGACTGCGAGAGAGGCAAAAGATCTTGAGAGTCCAAGTCCAGCTGTATTGAAATTTATTCTTTTATTTAAAATAATTGCAAAACCCCACTGTGTCTAATGGCTCCTACAAAGCTTTTTGACCTGGAGCTTTTTTTTTTAAAACTCATCATCGATTATCCCTATAGAGTTAATATTTCATTTCCCGTAATTTGGAAGATAGTTCGTTGCTAAATAATCGGTTTTTATGTTCTAAAACTGAAGGTTTTATAGGATAGGAATTCACTCTTTACACGGATCTTTGTTTTTATTTTGTTTTGCACTCGACAATCGCTGTACAGAAATTTTAGCCCTTACATTTTACTCTAGGATTGGAAACCTGCCACGAGGAGGAGGTGGTCCCCAAGGTTACATCTTGTGGTCCCTGAATTTCTAAACAGGACCCGTACTTGCTTTTCATTCATAAAGAGACATTTATTATTAGCTGAAAGTCATGGGGAAAAATACAGAAACAGTGGGTGAGCCAGGACCAAACCAAACAGCAAGAGGAGTCGTTGTCTGTGTCGCATTTTAATTTAGAGACACAGATATCAGATGCCACTGCTTTGATGGACAAGCAGATACAAAAAATCAAGACCGAAGTTCCCTCTCATTCTTTTGCCTTTCCCTCTAACCTGGGTTAATGAGAATAAGAATCACAACGTGCACACATTTACAAGGGTTAGGGGAGAAAACGCTGGCGGCCGGAGTTCTCCGGAGCTTATTCCTGCAGCTACAAACCCAGGCCGGCAGGAACTGGATATCAGAGCCCGAATCCGCGTAGCTCCTGTACCTGGCTCCCACACAAACACCACCACGGGGTTGGTTGCCTTTCTTTGCTTGTTTATTTGTTTTGTTTGTCTTTTGGTTTTTCTTTCTTCTCCCACCCAACAACTGGTTCGATTAGCTGAGACTGAGGCCCACTATTTAAGGATCCAGGAAGACCAAGGAGGAGTCCTTCCAGGTCCCTAGGCGCTCACACTCAGTTTCTCTTCTAATTTTGATTTTTTTTTTCAGTCAATACTCCTCTCTCTAAAATTCCGAAGAGGTGCGCGAGTTGAGGAGAGATAAATGAGTGGAGTTGGAAGGTAAACTTGCCTTTATTCCTCCCTCCCCTCTTCCCCCAAGTTTTTCACCTTGGAGAGAGAGTCTTTCTAACTCAGCACACGGAAGACTGAGAAAGTACAGAGCTTGCCAGGCATCCAGAAGAAAACTCGTGCTTTAATGAAGCTTTTCTCTTCGGGTTCAGTTTCTAGAAATACCTGCTTTACCTTTAGACCCTCCTGTAATTTGTATTCACCCTCTGCCTCACTAACCCCACACTTCTCTCTCACTTCCATTATCTATGAGGATCAATGGCAGAAATGATGGAGAAGACCACATTATCTCCATCACAATATCTGATCCAAAAGTAGACAGGTTGAAAGAGATAAATGAAATTAAAACCAGAAGTAAAGAAATACCCCAAGACAAGTAGCAGGCTGTTGCTAATACCAGTACTGCAAATGAGACAATGAATGGGAAAATTTAATTAAGCAACATTCTCAAACTAGCTAATGGACAGTAATTTAGACTCTACAAAATCATGGTTAAATTGTTGCCCAAAGTATACAG